TCGCTTAACCGTCTTGAACAGAATGCCACTGGTCTCCAGTCTTCACCATGGAGCTGTAACAGGACACCGCCCACTCCATAGCTGCTAGCATCAGCTGAGACTACAGTGCTCCTGTTAGCATCATAGTACATCAGAGTAGGTGATGTTGTGAGAAGCTCCTTGATTCTGTCGAAGGCTGCCTGCTGCGCAGGACCCCAAACCCAGACTGATGTTGACTTTAGCAGTTCATACAGTGGTTGGCCCACTGTGGCGAGGTCAGGAATATATTTCCCTAAATAGTTTATCATACCAAGGGCTCTCCTCAGCTCTTGGATGCTCTCAGGTGGGGCAAGCTTATTGATAGCTGACACTTTTTCTGGGTCAGGTGACAGGTCGCACACCATCTTTGTTGATTACCTGGCCCAGGAAATGTAACTCAGTCTTTCTCAATGTGCATTTCTCTGTGTTTAACTTCAGGCCTGCTGACTCCAGACGTGCCATTACTTTCTGCAGGCGCTCATTGTGCTCTCTCATGTCCCTCCCGAAGACGATGATGTCATCCATATAGACTGCAACTCCCTGCAGCCCTTCGAGAGTCTCTCCCATTTTCCTTTGGAATATTTCTGGCGCGCTTGTGATCCCAAAAGGGAGACGCTTGAAGCAATATCTTCCATAAGGTGTTATGAAAGTGGTTAGTCTCTGGCTGTCCTTGTCCAGAGGGATCTGCCAAAATCCAGAAGCTGCGTCCAGAGAAGAAAAAACTGTGGACCCACCCAGCTGGGCTATCATCTCTTCCGCTGTGGGCAGAATGAACCTCTCTCTCTTAACAGCTTTATTTAGTCTCTTCAGGTCAACACAGATGCGTGCTTTTCCATTCTTTTTCGGGACCGGCACCATCGGTGCACACCACTCCGTTGGTTCTGTTACAGCCTCGATGATGTCATTTGTCTCCATTCGGTCCAGCTCCTCCTTCACTGCTTTTAATAGGGGTATGGGGACCCGGCGTGCTGTAGCTACTGCATAGGGCTGAGCATTATCCTACAGTGCAATTTTCACAGGCTGTGTTTTCAGTAGGCCAAACTCCTGTTCACTGGTTCGGACCTCATACACTCGCTTTATTAGTCCCATTGCTAAAGATGTTGGCCTACTGAGCAGGTTGTTCACACTCTCACCTCAAATAACATAAAGCCTGAACATGTATGCTTTGCCCTTGTATACAGTCTGTGTGGTAAACTGCCCCAAACAGTTCAAACCACCCCCAGGACCACTCAGTAGTTTCTTTGTCTTGTATAGGATTCTCTTTGGCTCAAGTGTTTTATACACAGTCTCACTCATAACACTGCAGTCAGCTCCAGAGTCAATTTTAAACTTTACTGGCTTATTTTCAATATCCAGTGTTACTGTCCATTCATCATCATTTTCTGATGTACCATTAACTGAGCCCAGGTAATAATGTTTATTTTGTTCATCATCCTCTGTAACTTCACTCACCAGCCTGCTTCTGCATGCTCTTTCCCAGTGACCCTTTTTTCCACATCTGTTGCAGGTGGACTGTTTTGCGGGACACTTATCATGTTGGCTATGCGGTGTTTTGCCGCACCGTCCACATTTCCTGCGGTCACTGTCTTTATATTTCTGCTTGTCCTTGCGCTGTCTCCAGTCTTTAACCCGCGCGCCGCCATGTTTCTGCGCCACTTCTTGGACAGCACAGACTCGCTCTCCCTGCTTGTTAACCTGTGTCTTCACCTCCTCGGACTGCCGCACTTCCTGTACCGTCACATCCAGAGTAAGTTTCAGGATGAGCTCCAGCTTCTGTGACAGCTCTT